AAATGGTGCTTAAACCTATATAAAAACAACCGGGTCAGGCTTGATTCGTTCGAGTAAACCTAATCCATAAACAACATCCATCGAATCCTTAAGATTTTTCTTGAACAATAAGAAATCTTACTCAAAAAAAAAAAAAAAACTTGAGTTTATCTGTCCCCACCAATAAGGCTAAAACCAATTTTTAGCCCTTCACCTTACAAAATTAGTAGGTTTTAGCAAATAACTTTATAATAAAACACTTTTAATCCTTTACCTTACAAAATTGATAAGTTTTAACTGCTCACTTTACAAAATTAGTAAATTTTAACTCATCATCTTATATTATTACACTTTTAATTCCTTATCTGTACGAATTGAAGAAAATAGTTCTTATTTAACATCAGGTTATAATGTTTTATTAGTTTTGTTAACTGACTGTCAGTTCTGTTAACTGACTGTCAGTTCTGTTAACTGACTGTCAGTTCTGTTAGTTGACTGTTAATTCTATTAATTGACTATTAGTATCCGTTAGCACTCTATTAGCATTCCGTTAGCATTCTATTAGCATTTCGTTAATGGAACTAACAAATAAAATTGAATTTAAATTGAATTTAAATTGAATTTAAATTTCATATTTTTTATAACGAAATGCTAATAGATATTAACAGTCAATTAACAGAATTAACATAACATTATAACTTGATATTAAGTGAGGGCTATTTTCTTTAATTCGTATTGGTGATGGGTTAAAAATATCATAATATAAGGTAAGGAGTTAAAACCTACCAACTTTGTAAGGTGAGGGGCAAAGACTGACCAACTTTGTAAGATAAAGGGTTGAAAGTATCATTTTATAAGATGAGGGGTTAAAACCTATCAATTTTGTAAGTTGAGGGGCCAAATATTGATTTTTTTCCCACCAATGAGGCCCAAGAAACCCAGAAAAAAGAGACTGTTGCAAAAAATGGAAAAATAACACAGCAGCCCAAGGCACTGAACGCAAATGGGCGTACAAAACAACAACGAATCCATTTAAAAATTCCGAACCCGATTTATTTGTTTCCTTCTGAAAAACGACGCCGTTTTAACCCAATTTTGCACGATAGTCCGCGACTTATTTTTACTTCTCACTTTGGTCCATCATTTCCTGGAGTGTTAAATTTCAGTCCCGGAAAAACAACTCCCACATTTTAAATATTTTCAATCAAGTACGAAATGTGATTAATATACAATGCAATCTTGATTTTTCTTTGACAAATTTTCCGAATTAACTCCCCACAATCACGTAAAAGCTCAAAATTTTCAAAATTTCTCACTTATACTTAGGAATTTGGCAGAAACTAATATTTTTAAAAAATCAAGATTTTTGACAAAAATATCAAAAGGGATAGAAAAAATTGGGTTATGACATGAAGAAACAATTTTGAAACGTTAGTGGCTGGAAGGGCTAGAGACTTAAACATACTTTAGGGATCTCATTTTCAGTGTTCAAGGAAGATTTTGATTAAAAAAATTTTAAGAACTTTTTTAATCTATATTCACATGTTAAGAATATATTAATTATATTTTTTTATAATAAATTTTTATAAAAATATATGAGTAAATATTATTTTTAATATTGATGTCATGTGAATGATTTCAATTGAGTAATTTATAAATTTAATAACAATATTAGTATAATCTAAAAGAGAAAAGTGAAAAACTAACTTTTTTTTTTTTTTTCCATATTTGCTTTTGTTCAATTCTACAGATGGTAAAGATGAGACATTAAGAAATTTTATCGCATTCTTATTTACGATTTCAATAGAATAGCCATTATGAGATATACTATTAATGTTTGGTAGATTTTAATGTGATCTACTATAATGATCACATGCATGAGCATCATATTTGAGAAATTCTATCTATTTTTTTTATTAACTAAAAGAATTTTATTATTTTTGATAATCCTACCTATATATTTACACAAAATTTTTTCCTTTCCTACTCTTAACATTTCATTTGACAAACCATCAGTTGCTTTCTCAAAATTGCAGCCGTACATTCATAAGGCCTATTTCTCCAATCAAACAAAGAACATAGAAATCCCGTTGATCTATCTTTCAGCCTTAAAAACGATCGAACTCGAATGGCCTCAAATACATCCTACATTAAAGTATCCTGCCCCTTGAAAATGAAGTTATTGCGCGCATTCCATAAAGACCGTGCTATTACAAGAAATAAAAATGCCCACGCTCGTTTCACCTTGATCTTTCTAGCTACGCCCAAGCACCATCTGATTAAATGCTTCCTGAATTGACCTTGGCAAAGCAGCACGTAATCCCCATCATTCCAGACATTTCATCCACACTTGATATGCAAAATCACATCTGAGAATGGCATGATCCCCCTCCTCTGCTTCCTCTCAACATCTTAAGCATTTTTTGCATCCTGCATCCACTTGGACTCCTCGTTTAAGCAGATTGACTTTAGAAAATAACCTGTCCAAAAACATTCTCCGAGCAAATTAAGAAGCTAACTCTGCCAGAAGAAGATTGTCCCAAATGGCTTTGCAAAATACATACGATCCAAGATCCTGTAAGTCGGCATTGTTAAAAAATTTGCTTTCTTGATCAAATGTACCCCACCACCATCAAATTTCCACACCCTCTTATCTTCTTTCCCTTCTAAAATCTTA